GTTTATTTTTATTTCTTGAGGATAAACATTCTTTTATAAATCTAAAGATGAAAATACAGAAATATGAGATTATATTAATCCATTAATTTTTTTCAAACTTATTTTACTAAATTTTAAATTATACAGTTTTGTAAATGAATACACTTTCTTTTATTATGATTTATAGAGTAATTAAATTTTATCTTTTTAGATGTCCAAAAGATATTTTTGGCTTTGAACTAAAATATTATTCATAGATTCCTCAAAGTCATATACTGTACAGTATATATTTAAAATCAAATTTCCTTTGTACAAAATATGTTGAATCATATTATGACATTGAGAAACAATAAAAAAAAAAGAAAATCTCAGTTTTATAAAAGTATTTACAGTAGGTATAACAGGTAATATTTCAATTGATAGAAATTAATTAATTAGTTAATTATAATATTTAACCTAAAATTAATTAAAAATGCTTCATATTCAATTAAAACATTAAACTGTTAATTAAAAAGGATTAAATCATTCCTAATCTTCCAATGAGATGGATGCATATCAAATTAATTCTGATTTTTGCTAATTTACACACTTTTATTACTAAAAAAAAAAAAAAAATCTGCAACAAATATTAAATGCATTACCATAGCTCGTCAGGTATAAGCCTACCCCTTCTTTACTTTTAATTCATGTATTGTACCAGTGTGAACTTTTCCCGGACAAAAGATACGAAACAAAAAAAATTAAACATTGGCTTTGAATTGGGGATAGAGTATTGTATTAGAATACATTTTCAGCAGCCATTACAAGAAAGATGAAAATTTGCCCAATTTTTTTGTTTAAAATGGTTGGGAACTACTTTTTAAATGTTGTATTGAAATTAATGCCCACATTGAATAAACTTCCCCTTTAATTAAATTCCCCCTCGAATAAAACCCTCCTCTAGAGCCTCATTGGAATAAACACCTTCCTTGGGCTTTGATTAAAAAAAAATTCTCCCCCCCCCCCCCCTCCAAATGGCATGAACAAATCTAATGCAAGCAACGTCATTTCATTCTCAACACATTCCATATGCTACTCTAGTAGAATTACATTTTTTCTAAACTGGTTGGGATCATCAACTCTTTATGATCACACAATAACACATTTTGATGGTAATTAT